GTGTGTGTGTATATATATATATAGTTTTTATTAATTTTATTTCAGTTTAGTTTTAGTTCTTTTACTACATCAAGTTAAGTTAAACTACCGGTAAATTAAAATAAGAAATGTTGGCAACTAGCTGAAATAAAAATCGTTTTTATATTCTATTTTATTTCAGTTAATGTTTATTTTATTTTAAGTAACAAAAATGTTTTTTATGGTTTTAACTATAATAAGTTAGATTTAATAATTTTTAGTTAACTATAATAACTCTGACTGTGATGCAAAAAAAAAAAAAATCGGCTAATAATGATTAATTGTTTAAATTGTTGTACATTTGTAAGTATGCATCATAGCACTATTTATTCTATTAAATTTAATGCTGATTTTAATTTAAAAAAAATAATTGTGCCCAGACAAAATTATTTTCATTACCATTTTACAAATTAAATTTGTTGTTGTTGTTTGCATTAATGAAAATTTGGGCGAGATAAATGTGTTTAATTGTCACGAAAACAATCTTAGTGGTTCTAAAAATAGGATCTATTGTCTTTACACAAACTATAATTCCTTGTTTTTTCCTATTTATTTGTAGAGTGAAATAGCACCTGGATATCTGATCAATAGATTCAACCATGCTGTACATCAATGTCTCTAACATAAAGTTTCTTGAATCTGCATCTGACAGAAAGTTGAAAGAAACTCCACAGAAATGTTGGTGGAGAAGGTGGAGGGCTCGTTTTTAAGCGGTGTGGATGGTGGGGGTCTTAAAAAGCTTTAATGGCATGATAAGCCCCTTTCACAAGCTCTTAAACGCTCCTCCCTCTGATAGACTCCTCAATGACTGCCGTCTTTGTCCCTCTTTAAACTCCCACCGCTGCAGAAAGTTCAGAGCGCGATCAGCCGTCCTGAAATAATCCCGCCACTCCAAACCCTTGCTTTGTTTTCACAACAGCCGGATCAGCTGATAACCATCAGCCCCGTGAACAATCACAGAACAATCCAAGACAACAAAACATCCCGCTGCTCGAGGAGTCTGCTGTTGAAACTGCTGAAAAAAGACCTTTAAAGGGACGGTTCACCCAAAAACGATCTTTCTGTCATCATTTGCTCACCATCGGTTTCTTTCACGAAACATGACACTTCCTGTTTCTTTGTAATTATTTGTGAAATTTAGCAGCAGTTTCTGAGTGAAAACTGTTTCGAAATAAATCCAACACCAATTTTTTTTTTTTCAGTCTAGTTGGTGATGGAGAGATGTCAAGCTCCAAAAACATCTATATGACTTGTATGCAATATTTCAAATCTTCAGAAGTCATGTAATAGTTTTGTGTGAGGAATCTAAATAGGTCTGTCACGATAACAGCTTTTTGTTGTGCGACATATTGCCCCAGAAATAATTGCGACAAACAATATTATTGTTATTTTAAGACCATTTTATGCCACTGAATATATAATCATAATATAAAAGCAGAATGTGTGGTGGAGACCAACTAAAAATCAACTTTTGTTGGTCACAGAGCTTGTTTTCTGCAATAATCCAATGGAAAATCTTACTGGGTTTTTGCCAAGGGAACAGTGGTGAAAAAAATATATCGTATTGGGTCTCACGTGTCTTGTAACCAATTGCAATTCACGACTGAATATGCACAAGTCTAAATGAGCTTCAAGAGCAAGAGGGCAAATTCTGTCCAACAGGACTTTAGAGGAACATGTGGCCGAGTAGATAATGAGACTTTCCATCTTTAGGCGAACTGAAGTGCATCAAAACAAAGACAGTTGTCAACACATCGGGGTAATATTCGTGATGGAAGCATATAAAGAAATCTGGATTCTTCTAAACGGGGTCAGAGGCCCGACTCCAGGCGGTCCGGTCCCGCAATAATCCATATCTCCAGCAAAAACTGACATTCTAGGCAACAGTCGTTCGTTGGTGGTGAGAAAACTATTCGCTGTGGAGCCTCGACATCTGGATTCAATCTTGCACAGCCTGTCTGCGCAGCGGTGGCCGACGAGAAACATCTGGTGGAGCTGATGTCAATTACTGCGTTGTGTTTCTCTTCCGAGATAATCCGTCCAACACACACAAGCTCGTACACGCTCGCACACAAACGGCTTAAACACAAGTCAATGACATCCACATTTTTAACTTTATCAGAGGATGTTTGACATCTTCAGTGCTCGTTTTAACACTCTACAGCACCAAACAGATGAATAAAATGCAGAACTGTGCATGTTAGGTTTGATAAACTAGCATTTGCAAACCACAGAACCCACCTAGGGTGCATCGAGCGTCTGTTTTATTACGGCTGGGACTCAAAGGGTTTGGTTATTTGCTAATTGGACGCAGCTCTCAGCGGTTTGAGAGGAGAACCGTGGAGCCACTGCAGGCCAAGACTGCCTCGTTTGAACACTAACAGCTGCTAAAACCAAAGCGGAGACCCGTACTTCATTCCCCACTCTTCTTACTCTCTCTTTCTGACGTGCACAAACTCTCCCACGCGATCTGAGTGGCGTGTTGTCAGCTCAGGAGACCCCGGCAGCAAGAGCCAAGAGCAATTAAAGCGCTAATTCAAACCTGAAGGGCCCTTTTGTCCTGTGTTTCCTTTCTTCAAGTCAGAAGATCGGAATCTAACCACCCCCAACACACACACACACACACACACACACACAGCTCCGGCCAAAGTTGAACGGAAAAATTACACCAAAGTCCTAAAGTTTCACATTTCCAACTGGAGCTGCACCAAAAACTGGCTCACTAAAGAGGGATGTACATGAGTGTTTAAGTCTCCAGGATGCTGGACAAAACCGTAAATGTGTTGTTTTGGAAATGGTCCATTGTATTATCATGGTAATACTGTGTTTTTTAAACAACACTTACAAAGAGTACCATGGTAGTCCATGATTAGGTTTTTTGGACCCTAGCATCAGCATGTTTTATGGATGTGTTTACCATAATAGTACCATGGTACATTGGAAAATACATTGGAAAACCATTTAAATAAGTTATCATAGTATTACCATCTAATACCATCACTGTACCATGGCACCACCTACCAATTAAAAATATTTTTGTTGACTGAAAAAAACCTTAAATAATTTAAAATAAAAATTTGAGATTAAAAAAAATTTAAAAACGTAAACCAAAATTAGAAATATTGCTTTGGCAATTAACCAAAATAAAATAAGTTAAAGATGAAGTACTAAAATTACTAAAACTAACTAAATTAAAGCTAAATATAAATATTTAATAAAAAAATAATAATTGACAAAAGCACATAAAATTGCTAATACTTCAACTAAAATTAAAATAAAATGTAAAAATAAAAGCTAATTCAAAACATTAATAAATACTATAATAGTACACAAAATACTCAAATAACAGTGATCTCCAGTAATAATACTATGGCACTTTGAGAGACACCATGATACTGAAATTTATGTGCCATGGTATTTACATGGTACTCCAAGGTATATTAAAAATATAATTGTATATGTCCAAAAAACTATGATATCACCATGTAAGTGTTTTGTAATGTACACAGGCAGTGTGATATTCACTGTCGGTCATCATGACTAGTCCATCTTCAGCCCATCTCGCCCTCATGTGGTCAAAACCATCATCACATGGTCTGCAGCATCATCAGCTCCAAGTCCAATGCATTTGGTATTCAGGCCAAGGAAACAAACCCCGGGGACAAAACAATGGCCTGCGTTATTCTCGAGCACGAGTGACCCCGACAGCGCTGCTGTGGCACCGGGACGTTTCATTGTAAACACACACACACACACACACACAGGCCTCCTGTAGATCAGTCCACCGAGCACCACTAAAGTCCAGATGGTGTGAAACTTTGCAGAAGGGATTAACGCCAAATCCTCCAGTGAGACACAAGAGAGGGGTCCGTCTCCGACCCTCAAAACAGATTAGAGCTGGTTTACCACGCTAGACAGACAGCGTGCCCTTACTACAGTCTATGGTATTAGCATGGAAATGGGTATGCACTTTTTCACACAAATTACACACTTCGAAGAATACAATGACATGATTATAATTATAATGTCCAAACAAACAACAAAACATGGGAGTACTATGGTACTTGTCCAAAAAAGATGGTAATTGCACTCTTACAAAAAAGTACAGTGGCTATGATATCAATAATCCATGGTTTTTATGTGGTACTCCAAGAATACTATGGTAGTACCATTGTACTTTGTTTGGTCTGCACTCTTACCATGGTACCAAGTTCCATGTTTTTTGTTTTAGAAACATATCCAATTGACCTCCATGGTATTCTCTGAAGTACCTTTTACATTAATTCATTTAGCAGACACTTTTAGTGATATAAAAATAAAAAGCATAAGATCATTCATTGTAAATACCATGGTAAATGAATATGCAATCCAAATAATGTGGTATTACTATCTGATATCATCATAAACAATCATAACCTTGGCAAATTGATAAAATAGTACAATTTAACACACTTTAATGATATAGTAAACAACAATTTACCACGGTAAAAGTAGTTGCCACTAAAAATACCATATTTAACACCTCATAAAAGCTTCATTAACTGTTCGAGGGGGTTTCCATATGAATATATTATGTCAAATATGTTCGGATGTTCCATTTATTTTGTTTAATGCTCATACCGGAAGCGTTCTGGCGTTCAAAACAAATGGAACGCGGGAGTTTGGAACGCTCGTGGCACGCAGACGCTAAAAAACATCGAGACGCTGTCCGCATGCGCACACGGACTGTTAAACACGCAGTCAATACAGTACAGTCGCAAACGCAAAGCAAGAGCGCATTTTGCGTGAACCATACCTTACAGTAAAGGCCGCAATGACGGTATTTATCATGGAAAATTCGCCATACACCCCAAAATGTGTTATTCTCACTGCTCTGTTGATCTTTTTAGTCTGACATGCGTGTCGCGATATGTGTTACTGTAAGAGAGGAGCTGCACAAAACGCTGCAATCACGCACAATCCCGTCACATTAGTGCACTTACATTGAAACGCGCCCGGAATCCCGACCATTGTGACTCTCCTCGCGCTGACAGACTCGAGCCGCTCGCTGTGTGTCTGTGCTTTGTAGTTCTTCACGAATAGATCCACGGACCTCTGTGTGTGTGTGTGTGTGTGTGTGTGTG